TCTTCTTCTTCTTCTCCTTCTTCTCCTCTCCCTCTTCCTCTCCCTCTCCTTCTCCTTCTCCTCCTCTCCTCCTCTTCCTCCTTTTTTTGAGGCATGGTCTGGCTGACCAAGTTCAGGCTGACCTTGAACTCACTAGGTAGCTGAGGCTGGCCTTGAATTTACGGCAATTCTCCTACCTCGGCCTTCTGAGTGCTGGAATTACAGGTATGTGCCACCAAACCCAGCAAGGATTCTTTCTTCTTTTAGTTTAAATATATTTTCCATGAATACATAATAATACAAAACTGTCTATATTTATGGGGTGCATGGTACCATTTCAATACATGTATACATTGTTTAACATTAAAATTAGGTTATAGATATCCATGTCCTCAAAATTTTATCATTTCTTTATGGTGAAAACATTCAAATCCACCCAGGGATAGATGAATGGATAAAGCAGACATGGTATGTATATACAGTGGAGCACTGCTCAGCCGTAAAGAAAGATGAACGTCCCTCTGGTCGTTACATGCACACTCAGTCACCCCTACCACAGCCATCCTTTGGTACAGCAGCAGAACAGAACCTATTTCTCCCAGCAAACTCTAACGTAGTGCCTGTTGATCGGTCATTCCTCATCTCTCTCCCTTACTTTGCCTGCTCTCAGAGAGCCAAATTATAGGATTAATTTTTGTGGGACCAAATTTATATTATGTGTACAAGTGAGACCATGTGGTGCTTGTCTCTCTGTCACTGGCGTTTGTCACTTAGCGTGATGACTGCCAGTCCTGTCTGTGTTGCTGAGTGACAAGGGCTTCGTCCTGTTTTCTACTGGGCAGTGTTTCATCTCCCTCCTGTTTACCGTGCCCGGGCCCTGAACTGCTCTCGATGGCTTGGCTATGGTGAGCAATGCTGCCTCAAATAAACGCAAGCAGTGCAGATGTCTTTGTAAAACACCAACTTCGTTTGCTGTGGGTATGGGGTCAGGAGAGGGATTCCTGGGCCACAGCTGGGTATTAGGTTTTATGCAGCTCCCTGCTGATCCTGTTGCAGCCGACTGGCAGTGTGCTGGGGTCCTGTCCTCCAGCCCATGGAGAAGCCTTTACAGTGTGCTCCTCTGGATTCTGGTGTCCCCGTGGGCCACACTCAGGGAAGCTCTCCAGGCTCAGAAGGCTGAGAGGCTGGGCTGGGCTCCTCCTGCTCCAGCCCCCCAGTGGGGTGCTTCCTGCAAATACAGCTTGGTTACCTGTGTCACTCTCCAGCTCCCTCTCAGCTGATGGCATTCACCGTCCTGGGGCCATGGCCTTCTAGAGCTGGAAATGACCCCGAAGACCTTGTCTGCCAGAGGATACATTGCCCTGGCCCGTGCTCGGGGACAGGGACACATCCCTCAGTGCTCCTGAGATGATCTTTCCTTTTTAAACCAAACCACATTCTTCTTGGTCTATTGTAACGTCTGGCTTTTAAGGAAGTGGGTATATCATACATGATTCAAACACTAATACTATAACTACCTTAAAAATGGGGTTATACTCTTTGGATTCAACTGTCTTATAGAATCTGCTTTTGAATCAGTTTCATGGTTTGAGAATATGAATTTTAAGGTGACTGTCAGATGTTTTGCATTCAGTTTATTCATTTATTCAACTGACACAGAAAGTGTAAATGTTCAGGGTGCCGCGCCAGGCTTGGTGCACATAGATAGTGTGTAATGTCCAGGGCAAACGTATCTATCGTTTTATACTCTCATCCCTGCTTTGTGACGAGAGCATTCAGATCTGATTTTTGTTTTACTTTGTGTTGTTTTGAGCTGTTTGAAAATACACAGTGCCTGTGACCATCGCTGGTCTCTCTGCCCTGCAGCAGAGCCCCGGCTCCTTTCCCGACCACATCTTGGCCCCTGCCCCTCCTCGCACCCGCAGCCTGCACAAGCACCACCAGGCCGCAGCTCGGATGAGAGCCCTTTCTTGCCAGTCCACCCACCAGCGAGGTTATATAGCTTGGTCTTTCTGTGCTGAGAGCTGACTCCCAGCCAGCCCGCCTTCACAGGGGGCAGGGCCACCTTTTCTCTCAGATGTCAGAGGGAGACGGTCCTGCAGCCTGACGGCAGCCTCTGGGTAAATATAGAAGACCTGTGAGTGACATTCTGTTCCTGGAGAAGACCCTGCCCTGACTGACCCTCACCTCATGTTCACTGCAAGGTCCCTTGGAAGCTGCGTCTGCTCGTGCTCCACCTTTCCCCCACGCAGCACGCTGGGCTCCACATCCACATGTCAGCCAGCTCTGCCGTGTGGCAACAGGGGAAACTCCACAGCCCTTTAGCTCTGGTCTCTCTGTTCAGTAATTGCTTCTTCCGTCTTTCTTTTCTCCTCTCCCCTCCCCTCCTCTTCTTAACCGTTTTCTCCATGTTTTCCTCCTCTTCATTCACTTCGTCCTCTTCCTCCTCCTCCTCCCTCTTCCTCTGTCTCTGTCTCCCTGTCTCTGTCTCTCCATCTCTGTCTCTCCATCTCTGTCTGTCTCCCTGTCTCTGTCTCTCCATCCCTGACTCCCTGACTCTCTCTCCCTCTCCCTGTCTCTGTCTCTTTCCCTCTCCTCCCTCCACCCTCACTTTTCACCTTCAGCCTGGGGCATGGACACCTCCATAGCTCTCACTCCGTAAGTTCTGCTTCTTGTCTAACAGCACCATCACAGCTGCTCACCTCTGGGACTTCCTTTACTGCCGGGCACCGCCTCCCTCATTCCCTGTCCTCACCAGCAGGCTCTTCAAGGTGTGGACTTCAGCCTGACAACTGTTCGGAAACCCTGAGCATTTCCAGTGCCCTGCTCCTCTGTACGTTCCAGCAGCTACCACCCAGCTCCACATGCACGGCAGGCTCTGGACCGGCTGTGTACTGCAGTGAAGCAGGCCAGGGGAAGGATATGTGTGGGTTTAGGGATGCAGCTCCCGCAGCTGTGAGCCGGGGCTGGAGTCAGACTTCTGAAGGAAGCCAGCAGAGACAGCAGTCTGTGCCCTAGGTGTGGCCGTGGCTGCCCACCAGCAGGTC